ATGATTATCCTAATTATATTTTAGATTTTTTATATTTTAAAATGATATGTTTATCATCTATTTGATTATGTTTATCCGCAGTTAGTTACACGAATTTAAACATTGAGCTTTAATAAGTTGTACTTGTGCATAATTTACTTGTAATTTGAAATTTCAAGTAGTATGCATCAATGTACAGTACTTTATGCATAAAAAATAGTTTTTAATAGTTTTTCTCAAATGCTTTATAATATACTATAGATATGAGTTAAATATAAATTTGATTCCTATGGTTTATATAAATTAATAAGCAAGTTACTTGAAAAGAATTATTAACGAGTGACGTCCTTATAGTTTAATTTTTATAATGAGTATGGTTTCTCCTACTAACTTTTACAGTTAAGTTCTTGTTAGTGAAGAGCTATTTTGTCTATTCACCTTCCTTTCCTAAAATTTTCATTTTCAATAACGGATTTGGTCCGTTAAATTACTTTTCATTCTGTAACAGAATTGGTCCCTCAAACTACTTTTGAATATTGTAACGTATTTGGTCCCGTAATCTAGTTTTCATGTTTATAACAAATTTGGTCCCTCACTCATGTTTCCACTGTACTTTGACCTTGAGAATCTTTTTATGACGCAACATTTTGGACTTCTTTTCGAGGATTGCTTCCGGTTCCTGTACGCATCGGTTATTATCATCCACTCGAATCTCCGAAAGTGGTATCATGCTTTCCTCTTCCGCCAAGCACTTACATAGGTGACATACATGGAAGGTGTTGTGAATTCCGTCCATTTCGGGCTGTAATTCTAATCGATAATCTTGGAATCCCACCCTTGCCAAAATTTTGAACGGTCCAAGGAAACGGGAACTAAGCCTCCCATGCTTCTCGAAAGGAATGATACCCTTCCAAGGGGACACTTTCAACATCACACCATCACGCACTTGGAATTCTATAGGCCTTCTTTTCTTATCAGCGTAGCTCTTTTGTAGGTCCTGAGCCGCTTTCAAACGTTCACGAATGCCTTTCACTTTGTCGGTGGTTTCTTGCACAATTTCAGGATCGACGAATTGTTTCTCACCTGCTTCGAGCCAGCACACCGGAGTCCTACATTTCCGTCCATACAAGGCTTCGAACGGTGCCATCCCAATACTAGAATGGTAACTATTATTGTTGGAAAACTCCACGAGGGTAGGTGAGAATCCTAATTCCCGCCAAAGTCGATAACACACGACCTAAGCATATCTTCAAGAGTTTGAATGGTCCTCTCGCTTTGACCATCGGTTTGAGGATGGTAAGCTATACTCAACTTCTCCATCGTACCTAGCTCTTTCTGATACTATAGATAACGGTACGCCATGCCTCGAAACTACTTCATTAATGTACAACTTAGCAAGTTTGTCCATTGGCAATGTTTCGCGCATTGCTAAGAAATGAAGCACTCTTCGTCAAATGGTCAATCACCACCCACATCATATCATGACCCCTTAGAGTCTTTGGCAATTTGGTCATGAAATCCATGGTAATGTGCTCCCACTTTCATTCCAGAATTTCTAAGGACTGAAGACTAGCTTTGACTTGTAAACAAGTCACACACGGACACACCTTTCCACATAGTTTGCTACGTCTAGTTTCATAACGGGCTACCAATATGTCAACTTCAAGTCTCGATACATTTTGGTGCTACCCGGACGAATAAAGTATTTAGACTTGTGTGTGTCTTCTAATAATAACTCACGGTTGCCCCTAATCTTGGGCACCCAAATACGACCTCGAAACAATTTCAACCCACGACCATCCTCGTAAAGAGTAATTGTTGTTTCACCATCACCTCACTCTTGAGGTTCTCTTCTAAAAGTGCCTCTGATTGTGCCACTTTGATCTGGTCGATCAAACTAGATACGATGCCGATTCTGGTAAGCATGAATTTCGTTCCACTACCATACTCCATTCGACTCAAAGCATCCACCACCACATTTGCTTTACCCGGATGGTATAACAATTCACAATCGTAGTCCTTAAGCAATTCAAGCCAATGTCGTTGCCTCATGTTTAATTCATTTTGATCAAAAACGTACTTCAAACTCTTATGATCGGTGAAAAGTGTACACTTAGTACCAAAAAGATAGTGTAGCCAAAACTTTAAAGCGAACACCACCACCTCTAACTCCAAATCATGGGTAGGATAATTCTTCTCGTGCTCTTTGAGTTGCCTCAATGCATAGGTAATCACCTTTCTCCGTTGCATCAAAACGCAACCCAAACCTATTTTAGATGCGTCGCTATAAATCACAAAGTCTTCGGATCCTTCCGTCAAGGAGAGGATCGAGGCTTCAGACAACTTTTGGAGAGTCCGGAAAGCATTCTCTTGCTTCTCTGTCTAGACAAACTTCACATTTTTTTCTAGTCAAAGCCGTCAATGAAGAAACGATCTTGGAGAAATCTTGGATAAATCTCCTATAATATCCCGCCAAACCCAAGAAACTTCGGATTTCAAATGGACTCATTGGTGGTTCCCAATTCATCATTGCCTCGATCTTGGATGGGTCCACCTTCACCCTGTCTTGAGTGACCACGAGACCTAAGAATTGGACCTCCTTAAACCAAAAATCGCACTTCGAGAATTTTGTATACAACTTCTCATTTCTTAACATTTCAAGAACCTCCTGAAGGTGTTGCTCATGATCCAACTCATTCTTGGAATAAATGAGTATGTCATCAATGAACACTATTACCGATTTGTCAAGGAATGGTCGACACACTCGGTTCATCACGTCCATGAATACCGCCAGCACATTCGTCAATCCGAAGGGCATAACCAAGAATTAATAGTGACCATATCGCATCCTAAAAGCCATCTTTGCCACATCATCTTCTTTCACCCGCACTTGGTGATAACCCAAACGAAGGTCAATTTTGTCGAGAAGCAACCCGCTTCTTGAAGTTGATCGAATAGAAGATTGATTCTAGGAATAGGATATTTGTTCTTTACAGTCACTGTATTGAGCTCTCGATAATCAATACACATTCTCATCGTGCTATTTTTCTTCTTCACAAATAAGACCGAAGTTGCCCATAGTGACGAACTCGGTCTAACGAATCCTTTCTCTAGAAGGTCTTGCAATTGAGACATCATCTCTTGCATCTCGGATAGTGTCAGATGGTAAGGCGCTCTTGCAATTGGAGCGGCCCCCCAGAATGAGGTCGATTTAGAACTTCACTTGCCGATCGGGTGGTAAACTGGACAAGTTTTCAGAAAACTCGTCGAAAAATTCGCTAACCATTCTCACATCTTCAAGCTTTATTTTCTCCAACTTGGCATCCAAAACGTAAGCTATAAACAAAGGTCACACCTTAGCTAGGCATTTGCATGCCTTTGCCAAGGATAAGAACACGACGTCCCATTTCTTTTCTTCTGGTAAACTAGCACCACGTTGCCATCCGATAAAGGAATTCAGACCAACTTCTTAAAACATGGGATTTTCGCTTGGTTTTCTACCAACCAATCCATCCTAATTATAACATCAAATCCACCGATAGCCATGGGTAGAAGATTTACCCAAAACTCCTTTCTTTCAATTCCCAACACCGCAACTCCTAAGAACATCTCATACTAACACTTGACTACCATCCGCTATCTCTATGATTAAGGCATCATCTAGTGTACTAGTGGGCACAAGAAAGATTTGACAGAATGTAGTTGACACAAAAGAATATGAAGCACCTAAATCAAATAGCACATGTGCAGGTATGGAGTTAACAAGAAACGTACCCGACACCATGTCCGCCGACGCCGTCACTTCCTCCACGGTCATTTGAAAGGCTCGGCTGGTTGCCTCTGGAGCACCCTCTTTCCTTCCTTGACTTCCTCCCGATTTCAACTTCAGACAAACGCTCTTGATGTGAACCGGTTCCTTGCATTCGTAACAAATGGGTCCTTTGAAATGAGTGAACCGATTTCCCACATTAAAACAACTCGTGGGAGTGGGGTTGATGGTGCACAGTCCATAGTGTTTGCTCCAGCACTTAGGGCACCATCTAGCTTCTTATCTAGAATATGTCCCACAGTTATTGTTGTTGAATTGATTCGGTCTATTGGAAAGTACCCACTTTCTTTATTCTCTGATTGTCATCCTCTTCTCCTTCCTCATGCATACACCGTTTCCATGACCTTTGCTTCCTCAATCGCTTCTCGAAGGTTAAAGGCTTTGTAATTTCGCACCATTGCCATCATGTCTGCGGGTAATTCTTTGAGGTACGCTTTCAATTTCTCTTTTTCTGTTGAAGCTACGTGCCCCACTAAATTTAACTTCTCCATAAAGAGTCAGGTGTACTCTCACTGACAAATTTCACTTTCTGAGTGCTTGGAATTCTTCCTCAATGCGGTCAATCTCTTGCTAATTGTAATATTCCTCTAGCACCTTCTTCTTGAATATAGCCCAACTCATTTTGGCCAATACCGAAGCCTTGAGGGTCGAGGTGACTATGTTCCACCATGTAAGGGCTGAACCCCTAAGCATTTGAGAGCCAAATTTTACTTTCTGGCCTTCATCATAGTCACAAGCTCGAAAGGCTTGCTCGATCTCTCTGAGCCAATTTATGCATGCCATGAATCATTCGAACCCACAAATTCTAGTGGCTTGCAACATAGGAACGTCTTATAGGAGCAAACTCTTCCCACTTGCCTCGCATCAATCGTCACTATCTCATTAGTTGGGATTTCAGCTCCGGTACCCCCAGACCCCGCAAGGGTTACGTTTTCGGCAATCGCCTCATGCTGACGGTTGTTGGCGTCTCTATCCTCCAACAATTTCATAAATAACTCTTGTTGTTGGGCCATAGCTTTGTTCATAGCATTCATCGTAGTGCCCATCACTCCTGTCTTCGGGGTTTCCTCCTCCGGGATTAGAGGTAACAATGTCTACTTGGGGAATATGTTCAACTCCTCCACCCCAATACGTTTTGCTTAGGTTGAACTCTAACAACTGTAGTCCTTGATGGTTGATCCGCGGTAGATTCGGTTACACATGACCTTCCAGTGAAGTTTTCTGTCTACTCCGAATATTTACCATTTCAGTATGTCATACAAGAGAGTGAAAGAGAGTGAAAGAGAGTGAGGATAAGAAGAATACGAAACTAACATAATACGTACCGACACATTCATCAATCATTGCAATAATAGTAAGTTCAAGCATGCCTACCTAACAACGTACTCAAAATAGCATTAGCTAAGTGAAATTTTGAATAGGTTATACACTTAACACCATCGTCACAATTCATAATTAATGTATCTCTGTCGACTCTAAAGCTCTCCTATCTCAAGAGTTTCTACCCACATCTCACATATCATAACTTAAATTCTCAGCTTAAGTCTAGGCATCTTAATTTCATACCTAGTTCGCTTAAACTAGGGCTCTGATACCAACTTGTAACTTAATGAGGGAGTCACATGGACAAAGATGGGGCTAACTGTCGAGAATGCTCACAGGTGGGTGTTTAGTGGTCGATCATCGAAAATGACGTCTTGGTCAAACAAGATGACCGGAGGAGGACACCGCAATGGTGGTGGGTGCTAGAGAAGGCCACCAGATTTGGTCCCTGTGTGTCCGTGTGCGTGTGTATATATACATATATTAAAATAATTAAAGTAAATTAGAATATTAAACTAATAAAAGTAAATTGAATAATCAACATAATTCACTAATTTATCATTTGTTTTATTTTGGTAAATAACATTAATTATTTAAAATGATTGGCTCATATTGGACCTCACATTTACCACAAACTATTCTAATTATCATTTGATTAGGCCCATTTATATATATATATATATATATATATATATATATATATATATATATATATATATATAGGGGAATGATCAAATGCAAACCTCCTCTTTTGTATAAACCGTGCAAACCTCATTCTACCAGTCATAATTTTTTTTCTTTTTTACTTTTTTACTTTTTTAATTATGAGGGTTGATTAGTTATTTTTATTGTGGAAGACCTTAATTTTGGACATTATCATCTTTATTATATTAATTTTAGAAAACAGTTCTATCGAAATGAGAAATACATGAAACAATTTCATTTTTACATATAAACAAAAATATATGAAACAATTTCATCAAGAAAAAATTAAT